CTTTTCTCATATATCTCCATATCTTGTTCTCTTGCACTGGCTACCTATAAAATATAGAATAATTTTTAAAATTTGCATGTTCATGTATAAGTCTCAATCTAAATTATTTCCTAAGTACTTATCAGATATATTAATTGAACCTAAACGCCCCGGTTTACGATCGTCTTCTTCTTCTCGCTTTTTCTTAACTCGTGTTAAACACTCTTTTGCCAAATCTGCTTTTGCTTTTTCTGGTCCTTTTCTCTGGAACTCTCTGCCTACTTCTCTAACTATTTCTCCATCGCTTGCGAAGTTCAGAGCGGATCTCAAGACCCATCTGTTTTCAAAATTCATTGAGGAGCGCTGTTGAACATCGCGGAAATAGCGCTTTATAAGCTAATTGATTGATTGATTGATTGATTGATGATGGCCTGGCATGTGTACATGTTTCAATTTATTGCGTGAAAATTATTTTGGCGCATAACAATAGAAAACACTTATAGACATTATAGACACTTATAGACATCATTAAGTTGTAACTTCTTGTAAGTCACGTGGTTTTCTGAATGGAAGTTCTATTTAAACGGTGTATAAAAATTACATTTTTAATGTTGTGACAATTCTATGGTTTAGAAAAAGATTTTATAGATATTTTATGTAAACACTTTATAAATACCTATTCTAATAGCAAAAATAACAAAGTTAAAGCGAGAGTCATGGTTTCATAATATTAAATGAGCCGTAAATATTTACGACCGGTAGATGCACGTTTTAAATATTTATTTGTAGCTTCCTACATTTTCAGAAACGCGTTTACCAATTCACTCATAAAAAATCACTTAATTTTCGAGTACTGATGTGGTCCGAACAGGAGGTAGGCCTGCACTTAAAATGAGGTCAAATGTGAACCTCCAGCTTGTACCACATTGCTTTTAAAGAATCACGTGTCTTTCTTTAAAACAATGTAATGAATCAATCGAAAGCGCGCGCCTTTCTGAAAATGAACAAAACCGAAGATCCATCCTGGTTGTAAGATTTGCAATAATTTTAAAAATTTACTCCACAGCCTCCGGACATGATGAAAAAAAGAACAACCTTTTTAAATATTTTTTATTATTTAAAAATCAGTTTTTGAATTAATTTTCTATTTAAATATTTTGCAGTGTGCGGTGACTTGTAACTATATTGTGATCTTATATGCTAAACTACAGAAACATGATTGTCATAGTTTTAATTAAAGACTTACCCATCTCAAAACTTTGAACTTTGCAGATCCAGAGCTGGTGGAAAGGAATTATGGTTCGAAGATGTCTGGGACAGTATAAAAAGATTAGAAAACACAAAAAAAGTAGCAAAGGAAAAAATCATAAATATAAATAAGAAGTCGTTTTGTACATATTTTAAATATTTAATGAGTTTTGATTTAGTTAAGACCGTTAGAATTGGTGTGTGTTAGAATTGGTGTATGATAGAATTGATGTACGATAGAAAAGTCACGGACATCACGAAATTTTATGATTACCATTTTCAATTGATTTACTGAAATTTTTAAACATATCATTAATTTAGTTTATTTCATTATTTTGGTTATACATTTCGACCAAACCTTTGATAGAATCATGGAACAATTTACAGAAGTCTAACAGTATACAAATTCTTAATGTAATTTTTATGTTAAATTTACTACAACTTTAATATTACATTTTTTTTTATATTTTTTATTCACCCCTAATTTTTTAGTAACTTTATTTATGTTAATTGTAATATTTTTGAATTTTTGTCGCATTATAGCATTGTTTGTTTAATATGTAAAAAAGTTACAAAACTGGTAAATGATGTTTGACCGATGTTTCAAATGATTTAAACCTGATCAGTGTTTGATGGCAACTGTCTTTAAATCTCTTTGTAGTCTTCCACATTCATATGAAATTATTGATTTAGAGCTCTTTCAGGCAGTTATGATTATTTATTGTAAAAAGTTCAAACAATATGTTTTTGAATGGTTATCTAATAAATATAAAATCATTTATTTCCTTAATAAAAATTGGATGCATCTCAAGAATAGGTTTAATATTTTGAAATATTAGCTGTATGAATGCAGAAGGTCAAGGGAGAAAAATAAGTGACGATTAGCATTATTTCTCGATTTAACAAACAACATGCTGGTAAACATAAAATAATGAGAGCAATCTTCCCTTTTTAAACGCTGAACGTTTGTTTTAAAGTTTATCCAGCAACCAAATAAAGTGGCAAATTCAATGAACAAACAAATTCTAGACTTGATTAGAAATGCAGTAGCCGAATGAAGATTTGATAACCACGTTGGCTGACTCGATACAATTATTTTTTCCCAATCGGCTAGCTGTATT